CCCCAAAACCCCAAAACCCCAAAACCCCAGTGACCACCATTAGATAGAAATAAGTACACATTTGTATTAAGAACATAAGAAAATGGATGCGACACTGACCAGAATTTTTGGAAGAGAGGAAGAGAAGAGGGATTTTGAAGGGGTTTAAATAAATTTGTAGATTTTAGTGGGTGATGAGGGGAATAAGGTGTAAAAAATTTATTGGAGTTTTTATGCTGTTTTTTAGAGGATGAAATTGTGTGGTTTGAATTTTTCAAGGTTTGAGGTTTTTATGAATATTTTGGGGTAATTCTAGATCTTGGAATTAATGGCTTTAATTATATTTCTTCACAAATTTGCAAATTTTGAAGCAAAGGGGTCTGACCCTATGTATTTTCGGAATCAGCTCTTGGATAGAATGGGTCATTTTGACAATATTTTCCAACCTGAAAGAGAATTATCTTCCAAAGAAGAGCTTCTGCTTATAATTTTAGTACCTATTATTCCCAATAGATTCTTCAAGTCATTAATTTATCAGAGCATATCAACCAAATCTCAGATCTTATCAAAGTTATTATTTTCATTCAAGAGCTAACATGAAAGACTCTTAAGGAAGCATACAGATATTACTATCCGTTAAAGTCTCCAGACCGAGACAATTAATGAATGCTACTGCAATTTTCTATGAAAAATATCCACCCCATTTCTATTCACAATTAACGCCCCAAAGAGAGCACCTAAAGCAACCCTTATATCAACAGTGAGCCTCTTCTAAGCTACAAAACCAACCTCTGTTCTAACAATAATGCCGTTTATAATTTTTTATTAATAGTAAATCTATTCGTATTTATTTTTATGGATATGAATATTTCTTATGCTTCAACCAGCTGATTTGGACCCAAGAAAATCCCAAACTTCTTGTTAATGATCCTGAGTAGGTGTGGTTATTATCAAAGTTTGTGGTAAGTACTCTGGGCAGCTGACTTCAGTCATAAATCCAGATATTTCTCCAGAAGGATAAACCGCTTTTCAAATTTTGGCAAATCTTGTTTTATTCAGATTCTGAATAATCAAAAGAAGTGTTTGTCTCTGTTAATAGAAAACCCCTTTTTAGAGGATACACTGACTAAGTTTTTTAGCACTATATTTTGCATCTTCATAAAAATCTTTAACAAACTAGACGATTTTAAAACTGTTACTCTTCTTGGGAAAATTTAAGGTATTAAGGATTGTACGATGAATCTCAGTTCCATAATACAAAATCAGAGAGATATCTCATTAGCATTTAAACAGACTAAACCTCTTCCTGAGGTTCAGATGGAAGTGAAGATCATGTCATCTTGAAGCATTAATACTTGTTATGAAAACTCAAATAGAGGCTATAATTGATAAAATAGAAGAGGATGATTGTTAGGCTATGTCTTATTCTCAATAAATTAATTTAAAAAAGCGGTTTACATATGAAGAATACTTCTGGTTAGAAATTACCTCAAGCTGTGAATTTTATATATCTCTAAGTACAAATGGGAGATTGGATGCTCTTTGGGTTCCTTCTATTTTAAAACTAGAACAAATTTTGAAATTTACTGTATTTATGAAATGAACTGTATTATTTCGAAGCCTCCAGAAAAGTATTGATGAGCATTCAAAAGAGATCAAACCTCTACAAGGCAATACCTTCCTTATCATACTTTTAAGTAAGCCTTATCTCATTCATATAATTTAAAAAAATTGATAAAATGATGTGTAAACCAATAAGATATCGAAAATGTATGCCTTTTTCACTTTAAAATTGAACTTTCTCATAAAATTTATCCGAAGAATTAAAAGTTCCCTCACCAATTGATACTTAAATATTCCTCTCTATGATATGAATGGGGTTTTGTTACTTTTCAGGTATCAAACAGATATTAAATTTTAACTTAAAAAGTACTGACAAAACCGAATTTCCTCGTTTATAATTTTCGCTCAAAACCTAGGTAGCGAGTCCTAGCTTAAAATTAGCAAGTCTCACCGACTATGATGGTTAGGGATTATTCTATCATCTGGTAAAATGCATCAAAAACTTCATAAATTTCTAATTAGAATATTGTCGGTTTACAGTTATTATTTAAATTGAGTAATTTTCAAATTTCTTAATAGCTGACAAATTCATTGAAGAAAGAATCCGATTCAACCAAATTTCTAGTAAGAAAGCCCAGAAGCTTATTAATATAAAATCTTTTATCAAAATTCATATTTTATACTGGGCACTGGCCTTTTGGACTTCCTCATACATATGAACTCTGAAGGTCCAAAATCAAGGTTTACAGTGCTGAGCATTTACTTTGAATCTAACATATGCTCAAGTGTCTCCACAGTAGCCTCATCAGTCTGAGAGGTCATATATCTGAGTAAGACTCTCAAACTGTTTGACTGCATAGTGTTCTCAAGCTTCTTGTAAGTAAACTTTGTGATTGTTTCATCGAAGTCTGAAATCTCCTTTTTCACCTTTTGCTTACAGTCCAGTTCTGATGGTTTTTTGAGGCTGAGGATGCCAATTGCATAATAGACCAAATCGTCAGCAAGAAGTTCCTCAGAGATGATACTTTGTAAGGTTAGCCTCATTCTTTCGTATATCTGGTATGGAGTTCAATTAACATATCTCTTTTGGATAATTTTCGAGTTTTTAGATTTGAAGAGTTTCTTCAAATGCTTCTTGACCAATCGAAGAGCTCTTTTAATTTCAGCATCTGCTCTAACTCTCTTACGAGATGTAGATTTCTTGACTACTGAAGCAAAACTGTCGGCTTCAGAATCTTCTTGCTGGCCACTCTCTGTTGTGTCATGAGATAAATCACCCAAAAAGGGCTCTCTTGAATCAGTTCGTACTCTTTTCTCAATTGTCGGTTTACTTGCAAAAATAGGTTTACTTATAGGTATTAATTGCAATTTTTTAGCATGTCTTGGATTTTCTTGGTCATTAATCATTTGCTTTACTCTCTGCTCCATAACACTCTTCAGATATTCAGGCTTTATAATTCCAAAAGCAGTCCAATCTTGGATAATTGTGTCATATTCCTATAAAAATGGTTAATTTGATTCTAAAGGTTTGAGAAAGGCAGCTGTTGAACAAGTAACTTCCTGTACTCTTTAACTTACCTCTCTTGTAAGAGTGCTTCCAAGTGAGTCTTTATATTCACAATGCTCAAATAAATGAGCATCAGATTCATACATCCTTGCTTTTCAGAGACTTTGAGTCTCATCTTGCATACTTTGGGCATAATTCATAAATAAGTCGTTGTTCATTTAATTTAGATTAAAATTATAATTTAGCTGAACACTGTACTCAGCTTTAAATTCTATCATGGGGTTTTGGGGTTTTGGGGTTTTGGGGTTTTGGGG